ATTCTTAGAGACAATGGTTCTCAAAGTGTAGTCCTCAAACCAGCAGCATTAGCATCTCCTGGGATCTAGTTAGAAATGCAAATTCCTGTGCCCCACCCCAGACCTACTGAACCAGAAACTGGGGGGTGAAGCCAGTAATCAAAGTTTCACCATCCCTCCAGGAAATTCTGGTACAAAGGAAAGTTTCAGGACCATCGATGGGAAAACAAAATAATCTCGTCAACTGGGAGGGTTAGCATGGCATAACACTGAAGCTCCTGCAGTGAAAAAGCAGGGATAGGAACGTCAATTACAGTAGGAGAATGAGGTCAGAGGAATAGAAGCGGAGACCCTGTTCCTTGACAGGACCCGAAAAGTTTTGAGGGCTGAACTAAACTTTCCAACATGTTTGATCATGTTTCAAATAAAAAAAAAAATAAAAAATAAAAAAAAGGAAAACAATCTTAGGGCTTTTACAGCCAGCCGACACCTGCCATCAAAAACACCATAGACAGGAAGTATTGATAATCCTGCTGGTTGGGTTCAGAGAGCAAAGCAAAGTATTTTTATGAGTGGATAGTAGGAATCCAAAAACTAACTTCTACCTTGACCCCAGAGTGACTGATACAGACTGACTCATCCCTGGTCTTCACCCTGTGAGTGAGTATCATGCTTAGGCTAGCAGTGCCATTCATTTTACTGGCAGCTCCTTGCAGATCAGGTTCTTCCCTCCTTGCCAGAAAGAGAAACATGAGCCCTTTTTGGTGTCCCTAGCATGGCCATACTCCTTAGTTTCTGGGCAAAGGTTCATATAAAGCCAGTTCAAATGGCCATTATTCCAGACAATCACATAGAAAAGTCTCCTCCACTTCTATGNAAGAATGAAAAGGAGACATGCTGGCTACATATATAATAACAGGTTGAAAAATGCTTTCCCTGAAGTTGTATGCATTGGCTCTATTACTACAAAAAATGACGAGAAATAATAGTGTTCCCCCAAAATATCAAGGGATGAAAAGTTATACACACGTGTGTGTATGAACACACGTGCATAGAGAGAGAGAGACAGAGAGAGCAAGAGACTGTATTGTTAAGCAGGTGAATTGAGTCAGAGAATTCACCTAGTTTGGACAAAGTGTCTGGATCTCAGGAATTTTCCAATAATAGGCCTTTGTCTTATAGCT